TTCTATCCCTAAAATCTGCTGGAATATCCAGTGCTTTGTGGGAAGACACAACCACATATTTTACCTTCATATTGTATTCACTGCTTTGCCTTTTTTTACCTTCGTATTGTATATATTCTTTTATAATTTATTGGTTTTGTGCTTGCTCGAGTCTTTGTACTTTCTTATAAAAGGGGGAACTCATATAATCCTAGCTGAGATTTTCCAATGCCCAGGTAGTTGAGGATCTCAGTATCTCACAAAATCCTAGATTTTTAGCCTTCCCATTCTTCATATGGTCACCTGAGTTCTCTGGATGGCTGTGACAATTCCTCCACTCTCTCAGCTCAATCTTCCATAATTGGTTGTGAGGAAAAGCTCCCCTTGTTGCATTGTTCAAAATTGTGCAATGCCTTTATGCAATTTTCACAACAAAACCGCCTTGAGGCTATGCACTTATATCTGATTAAATGCATGTACATTCTCTTCAGTCAAACAAACACACACTCCCTCCCTCTCAAACGTGAATGGTTCTTCGCATGTCACCTTTTTGCCAATGGTTTCTCATTTCTGTCTCTCTGTTTTTGTTTTCCGGTATCCCCCCTCCTGATTACTGGTGTTTTGGTAGGTACTGGTTGTCCAAGAAAAGAGTGGGCAATTCCGTGGGACTGGAGTTTGGAAATTCCCCACAGGAGTTGTTGATGAGGTTTGTTCAGTTTTATGAGCTGTGCACTTGAAAAAAGAGAGTAACTATGGTGAGAAAAGATATCTAGGAGCCGCTATCTGCTGTGAGTGAAATGCTCTCTCTTTCTTTATTCCCAGGGTGAAGACATATGTGATGCAGCTGTCAGAGAAGTAAAAGAAGAGACGGGGGTGAGTAACTAGTCTCTAAAGTATTTTCATTGATCAAAAATGTCAAAATGCATCTGCCTTGTTTATGAACATCGCCGTTTGTCTTTTTTATTGGTTCAGATTGATGCAACCTTTGTGGAGATACTAGCTTTTAGGTATTTACCTTCACTTTATTACATTCTTAATACCTGCCTGCTCGTACCGCCGTCATAAGGTTTTGGAAAAACACTTCGAGAGTTTTTTTTTTAAAAAAAATCATTAAACAGAATGTTTTAAAAAATAACCCTCAAAAACATCATGAACTCTCTGGATTGACTATCCCCCATACAAAATAACAAACAAACACTCTTGAGAGTACATTACACACAAGACACTTTGTAATTGTGGGAGCATAGGAACTCATCAATGAGCTCTCACCAACCTCTCACTTAATTTTGGAACTTAAAAAATTTTCCACATTCCAGACAAAGCCACAAGTCATTTTTTGAGAAGTCAGATCTATTCTTCGTGTGCATGCTGCAACCCTCATCCTTTGACATTCAAATTCAGGAACAAGAGATTGAAGCAGCCCAGGTATAATATTTTCCTGTTGTGTGGATTACGATATTTTTTTGGCCCTGGGAACAGTGAACATTAAACTCTTTTTTTGGATGGAGGGAATATGTTTATATATTTGCATATTTCGGGTCATCTCGCACTCACGCGTTGTTCTGTAATGCAGTGGATGCCGTATGAAGAATATGTGTCTCAGCCATTTATCCAACAGCACGAGATGCTCAAGCAAATTGCGGCTGTATGTTCTGCAAAGATACTGGGTAAGTATTCTGGGTTCTCACCTGTGCAGACGGGGACTGGCTTTTCTGAGAAGAAAAGCTACTTGTACTTGAACAAGAACTCTAATGGTGATGAATCTTCATAAGAGTTTCCAGTTTGATTATCATTTTTCAAATGATTTATTTTTTTTGCACAAAGAAACATGCAAATACCATTAAGCTTTTGATATATATACGTTATATGGGGTGTGAGATGGATAAGAATCATCAGTTTTGATTATGAAGTACTCTAAGTGTTCCAATTATAACCGGTGTGTGCCATCGAATGACAGTATCATTTGATCCTCTCTGTGATTATATATGCATTCATTTGTAGTTAAGATACAACAATGAATTCGTCGTTTGTTTTACGGTCACCCGGTGCCATTGAATGGTGCCATCGAATTTACATTATGACTAAATATATTTTTTCTATATTTTGTGGTCAAAGGGACCTACTTTTGATGAAAAAGTCAAACTGTGCCATTGAATGGTGCCATCGAATTTACATTATGACTAAATATATTTTTTCTATATTTTGTGGTCAAAGGGACCTACTTTTGATGAAAAAGTCAAACTGTGACAATCTTTTATGGACGGAGGGAGTATTATTTTACCTCTAGACCTCTAGTCCCAATGGACAAAAATACCCCTGATATATTAAAGAATTTTTTTGAAAGACTAAGGTGTGGTGGACGATTAACTCAGGACTAGGGTCAAAGTGGTGACTCGAAATGACGATATGGAAGGTGACCAATATTGTGGTTGTTAATCTAATTTTATTAACTAATGGCATAACCACCAAAGATAAACTGTTTGCATTGGGCACACGTTGCATGTCATTTAGCATAACAATTATGATTAATTTTTAAATAATGTTGATTAATATTTATAAATTGTAAAACTAATTACACTCTATTTAGTCTAAGGAATTTGGGAAGAAAGAAAAATATGCACTAAAATTAGTGGAATTTAATTTTCTCTCATCTTCGTATATTTGGTCTTCCTGTTTTTTACTCCGTGCCTCTCACTTTACTTTTCTTCTTTTTCTCTAACAAAACCAAAAAAATATTTTTCATCTCATTTTCTTTTTTTTCTTCAGATTCCTTGAACCAAACATATCTTAAAATTCAGATGTTAATATATGGAGAGCAAAATCTTCCGGTGGATTGAAGGTCTACAGGTGGTGATGATGAACGTAACCTTCATATAGACAAAATAAAAAATAAATATTTACTACTAAGATGAATATTTTTATTTTAAAAAGAAAATGTAAAAAAATTGCGAGAAGGTTTACAAAATTTCGTGGGTCTTAGATCCACAATAAATCACTTTGAGAGAAATGACACTTACATTTACTCTCTCCATTACATTTTTTCAACTGTTTTTTTAATTTTTCGAGTCGTACTCGATCGATTAACTATAAATGAAAATAACTAATGAACTAAAATATAAAAATTACTCCGTACTTTTTCCTATTTACATTGTTGGGACCGCATGTGTCCTCACCTAAACCCCGCAGTAGTATGATATTGGTCTATTACATTTTTGGGCACCTCTTAAAAGGTCTCATACTATTTACATTTTTGGGCACCTCTCAACTAAAATATAAAAATTACTTTTTCCTATTTACATTTTTGGGCACATCTTAAAAGGTCTCATACTAATGGGTTGGATTGAACTTATATATTTTGGTCTATTTTTCTCTCCTCGTCCGGTGTGTGGGACTAAATTTGCATCCCAAGATACATATGCTATAAAATGTAATGAATAGGTTAATAATGAATGTGTACGATTTGATAAATAGATTAATATATAATAGGGTTAAATATTTGATTTTATGTGAGAGATAGACTTCTTGTTTGGACGGATGAAAATGAAAAGCAAAAATGTTTTTGGGATGGAGGAATATTTTAACTAGTATGGAGTATTATATTGTTGAAGTGAGATTTTAGACACGAAAATAAAACACATAAATAAAAAAAAGAATGGGAGAGTGTAGTCTTTAGCATCTTCTTTAATTAATTTGTCACATTAATTAGTTATTTGACAATAATGGGAACAAAGATGGATAGAGTAAGTTGTCAAGCCTGCCCCAACAATATATCATCTGTCCATAAGTTACGCAAAAGTTACACACTAACCATAACAATTAATTAACAAGTCACCTATATATCTCTTCCTTCTTATTTCCAAATTCCATTCCTTAATCCTTACAATTACATACTCATCATTGCATAATTGATCATTTTAAATTTAAATTTAGCATTTATTTTTTTAAAAAAATACTTGGAAATCGACACATTCAAAAAAAAGAATGCATTATGATTTTTGTAATACTTGGAAATCGACACATTCAAAAAAAAGAATGCATTATGATTTTCGTGCAAAATTATCCTGGTTTTTTCTCATTTCTGGAGAAGTCCTGTTACGATATCACCGCTACGTTAAATTTTTTTAAAAAGTCAATCTGACTTCATTTAAAAGATTATGAATGTGGATTAAAGCGTAATGGCTATACGAATTAATTAAAAACGGAATCGGAAACTCGTGAATTTGTCACGATTTGGGTCAAGTTGAGCCTATTTTTGTATTGATTGGTTTTTTGCATTGTACGGAGTACTTACTATACATTCTCGCTACCACAAATAAATTTTTGAATGATGCATGTTATAAAATCGTGATCTCTTGGATATAAAAAGAATGTTTTGTTGTTACTTTGCCACAAATTATTAGAAACATGCATGTTATAAGCCTAGCTTTAGTTTAAAAGAGAGAACAGTTCTTTAGTTAAAAATAAAAAGTTTTTACAACTTTTTAAAAAGTGTTACGTTACCTTTATTGTGGGTAAAAATTATTTAAAAAGTTTTTTTGGTATTTGAGTGAGATAGAAGTGTTTTAATTTATGCAATGCACAAAAAATGAAATGTAACCTTTTTTTCGGGACGGAGAGAGTACTCTGTATCATTTTAAGTGATGTACAAAATGAGAAATAATTTTAAAAAAATCGCAATATCTTGTTATAGTTTATAATTGCCTAAAACACAAAAAAGATAACCCTGAGTTTATGTTGAAAAGGATATGCGAGACGGGCACTCCAAATCTACCACCTCACTATATGCATATAATCCATCTTTCCTTCTAAAACAAATTTCTCACTTCTCTTTTTCATTATTTTTTTAAAAATAATTTTTTTATTTCTCTTAAAAATATTGAGTGGTTCACAATTATTTCTTTATATACCCCGCATAAATTTTAGCTACAAATATCACTTCATTTTTTAAAAATTTGTGAAAGTGAAATCACACAATTTAATTTGAGAAAAATATATAAATATAAAGGTGAATTTACTTGAATAGCACTTAAACATAATGACTTTTCCTAAATAACATTATTTGTGTTTTTTTCTCTAATATACACTTTTAGTCATTATTAAAGTAAATGTTCGTCATTACTAGACATTATCCCTCCTTCTGGACATTATTAAGTGCTATTTTGAAATAAAATAATTTAAGTACTATTTAGAGAAATGAGATAAATTTTAGTGTTATTTAATGCAAATATTTCAAATAGAAAAGCAAGGAAGGTAGCGTTTCATTTTCTACCAATCCTCAACTACAAATTAAATTACGGATTATATATATATATATATATATATATTGAGAGACTCATACAAAGAAAGCCAGCACAATTCAAGCTTTATGGTCTTCTCATCGATCGGAAATTAAAGATGGCGTTTTTGGCGTTTGCAACAATGATAGTTCTTGCAATTCTTGAAATTCCGGCGGCGGCGAACCCGCTACTATTCGAACACTCCTCCGGCAGGGAGGAGCTCGCGGCGATAGGAGGCTACGGGGAGGAAAAGCTATCTACTGTTATAATTTATGGCACAGTTCTATGCCACCCATGTGGCGGCGGTCGTCATCCCCATCTGCTCCGCCTTAAACCTCATCCCGTCTCAGGTCTCTTCCAATTTCTTCATAATTTTATTCATAATTGATTTTCTATGTTACTCCGTCCCCATTATTTTAAAATAGTTTCTATTTTGATTTTTGATAGATATGGAGTATATTTTTGTAATTATACTTTCCAATTATATTTTTAGAATTTAAGGAGTAAATTCTATTAACGTTCCTAACTAAATGTGATTTCCTCTATTAAATCTTCAATTCTAAAATATTTTATAAATAGTTTTCAATTTTTTAGAACTATTTCATAATCTTACCTTCTTGAACTATATGTTGAAAAAATGTTTTGTTAAATTCGGCTTAAATGACTATTTATAGAATAGTTCTCAAAATAGTTACACAAAGATATGTGTGTATGTATGTGTGTGGTGTGTGTGTATACACACACACATTTAAAATTTAATAGGTTACTTATATTTTTGGTTCCGGTAAAATTAGCAAGTTTTTCTTTTGGCCCCTCCAATATATTCTTCAATTAAATCGTCTTTGTAAAGTTATTACTTTTGCAAATAGCTAGTCATCTCCTAATTTAAAAATATATTTTGATCCTTGTAAAATTTATATAAAAATTTAGTCTTCTAAAGTTCTTTTGGTTCATTCTTCCTCTTTTTTTAACTTGTTTAATACTCTTCACAACATTAGCTTATTGTTTTTAGTCAAGATAAGCTTAACTACAATGTCAAAGTTATTGAAATATTTTTTGAAGCTTAATTGAATAACTACACTACCAATTTTTTCTAAAATAATACTTTTTAATAAAAAATTAAATGAGCTAAATTAATACCAGGGTCATTTTTAATAAATATCTTTACAATCATTATAGAAATAATCACCCTAAAAAATACAGAAATCGTCTTAGATGGCGAGGATAAGAATTTTGCTTAAAATCATGAGTGGGACAAATTTTACTAAAAATTTCACTAAAAAGAAATTTGGTACTAATTTAGCAAAAGATTATTTTACTAAAAATAAGAAAAATTTGAAATTAATTTGTAAATATGTAGTTATTTGATGATGAAGTATTTAAAATATTCCATTGACTTTGACATTGTAATTAAGTAAATCTTGTGGAATAAAAAGAATAATATAATCACGAACAAAATATTTAATAATTAAAAAAATAGAATGGAATGAACAAAATGAATTTTAAAGGAACTAAAAATAAAATTTATATATATTAAAAGGAGTAAAACAAATATTTAAATTAGGGCCCGGAAGCCTATAGCTATTTGCTAAAATGATTCGGAGTAACATTTTAAAAATGATTTAATTGAAAAGTATTTTGAAATGACCAAAAAAACTTGCTAACTTACATGCATGGGATCGGACCAAAAACATAATTAACTCATAATGAATTTTGCTAATGATTTTTATTACAAAGTATTCACTTAAACTTTTTTTAAATGAGTTTTTTAATAATAATGTAGTTATTTAATTAAGCTTTTAAAAATATTTCAAATATGTTGACCTTGTAATTTTTTATAAAAATGATAAATTAATCTTGTATGGAGAATTTATTAATTTAAAAATATGAATTTTAAAGGAATAAAAACCTTACTTGGTACGGAGTATTTAAATTTGGGAAAGACTATTTGAAAAAATATTGATTATATAATGTTGATTTCTTACGTCTAAATTTTTCTTATTAACCAGATTTTAAAAGCCGGAGACGTCACTTCAAGTAAAGGAGAATTTTCTTAAATATCACTAATATAAAACATAATGATTTTCTCTAAATAGCTTCATATGTATTTTTTTCTCAATATAGCACTTTTAGTTATTATTCATTAGTCGTTATTCAAGTAAATGTTCACTATCACCGGTCATTATGGACATTAATAAGTGCTTTTTAGAGAATAAAACAGTTTAAATACTCCCTCCGTTCCACAAAACCCGTCCAGTTTTGACTTTGGGGAAAAATAAGAAAAATGTAATTTTGGTTGACTTTTTAATTTTGCCCCTGATGTGATGGGAAAAAGTAAGATGTGATAATTTGGTTATTAGTGAAAAAGTATGATGTGATAGGTAGGGTATAAAAAAGTAGGGGTAAAAGTGGTTTTTTAATAGAAAGTGGAAATGTTTTATGGAAAGCAAAAAAACGAAAGAGGAAGGATTTTGTGGAACGGATGGAGTACTATTTAGTGAAATGACTTAAGTTTTAGTGTTACTTAGTGCAAATATTTCATAGTAAAATACGGAGTAATGTTCATTCCTCTCTAAATTTTTTATCCACACTAAAAAAAAGTGTGGTGCAGAGAGAGTCTGGCCAGTATACAACTTATGGAGTATGATACAATTTGGTCTACCCAAGCAATTTTGTCTACCAATATAAACTCCCTATTTATCTTTGAACATGCATTTTCCAAGAGTTGTCGCACACAAATTAATTTGGTGCAAAAATTTCATTATATATATAATGATCCATTGTTTGAACAAATTAAAGTTACTATGTGCATGCATGCATGCAGGCGCTTGGGTGGTTGTTTCGTGCAAGACTGATGAAAAGGAGAAGAAATTATTAGGAAGAAGAAGGTGGGGCGGCATAGAAGAAGAGAAGAAGACAGACGAAAATGGGGAATTCCTCATAGATCTTCCTTCCCATCTCCATGCAATTCCGGACATGGAAAAGGCATGCACCGTCTCCGTTGTCCGTCTCCCCAACGACTCCGCCTGCAACAACCATCCAACCACCTTCACAAACACCCGACCGGCGGCGGCCGCCGCCATCAAGTTGACCTCAAACAAGGAAGGCACCCGCTCTTACACAACCCATAACATAACTCTATCTTGTCACGCCTTAGTATTCACATAAATTGTATGTTTGACTTATTAAGGCATCACAAGAGTTATGATGGAAATGGGGATGGATGGATGGAGATCTAGCCTTTTAAATCCTTTTAGGTATATAAGCTAAGGGTATATATATTTAAGAGGAATTTACGTAAATAGCTCTAAACTATAATGTCTTTCTCTAAATAGCACTACATGTGTTTTTTTTTCAATTTAACACTTTTAGTCATTATTCAAGTAAATATTATTTATCATCACTGGTCATTATAGACATTATTAAGTGCTATGTAAAGAATATAACAATTTAAGTGTTATGTAGAGAAATGACTTAAGTTTTAGTGCTATTTAGTACCAATATTTTCTATAATATTTAACACCCTTTTTATGAAATGGGTAGATCTAGCCTTTTGAATCTTTTTTGTTGTATTGTGTTATTCCTTTTGGAATAATAATACATATGTACTCTTTGGAAATTTCAATGCCGGGAACACTTCCTTCATATTAGAGATTTTCTAGCAAACAAGCTAGAGTACATAAAAAGTGTCTTCACCCTACAATTTAATTGTTGACAAATAAAATTATTAAGTGAATAAAGAATGTATGGTGAGAACTGATCTTTTAAAAATAGGATACACTGTTTGAAACAAAATAAACTCACTCCTTATATGCCACAAATGTGTTGAAATCCATAAAATGAGTGTGAACCTTAGATCCATAAAAAAATTTGTCTACATTATGAGCTTGTTTCAAAATAACGTTAGAGATTATCGTTAGCATTTTGAAAAAGTTATCGGCGGACAACGTTTAACTGAGAGTGGCGGATCCAGGATGTTAGATAGTAGGAGTCACTTTTCGAGTGTTCGAGGGAAACGTCTCCAAAACTTTTTTTATACATGCAATGTGAAACTTTAAAAAAAATAATGAATTTACCCTCAAACAATTATTCAAATAGTCTGTAGTAAAAAAATCAATTTGTTTTAATTTCAATATTATAATTTAGTTTAATTATTACTCCATATATTTTTAGTGTACTACTTTAGAATCTATCTTTGGACTTCTAAATATTTCACTTTAAATTTATATTCTTTTAATATTTAAATATTCAACTTCTCTCATTGTTTCCTCACATAACACTATTAATTGGGTCTCTAATGCTTTCAATTGGGATCTCTAATATTTTTAGTTGGGGTCATAAATTACATAACTCTAAGAAACATTTAAAAAAATTAAGGATCACAATACATATGATTTAAAAAACTTAAAATAGTAGGGGGCCATTGCCACCAACTACTATAATATGGATCCGCCCCTGGTTTACCATTAGCATTTTCAATATAATTAACACCATTAAAATTTTATCTAAAATGCTAACGCTAAACTCCAACGTTACTCTCAAACAGACCTTCTCCTTATGAGTGTTTAAAAAAATTATTTCTAAAAAGAAATACTCCCTTCGTCCTACAAGACCATTCTCCTTTCATTTTTCATCTGTCCCAAAACAATTCTTCTCTTTTCAATTAAAAAATTACTTTTACTTCTATTAATTTTTAACTTACCTATCACATCAAAGAGCATTTTTAAAAAGTCAACATCAAAATACAATCTACTTAACTTCTTTAAAAATTAAAATAGAAATTTTTTGTAGGACGTAGGGAGTACATAATATTTTTGGGAAGTGAGTTATTACCACTTTGAAAAAAAGAGGCCCAATAGCCTAATCTGCCAAACCTATTAATTCCCCCACCCTTCAAGTAGTTATCCGTCGATCGCAACCCTAACTTCTCCTCTTTTGATCGTCTCAACCGGCAGCCAGCCATCATCCTCTCAATCCGCCGGCGTTCCTTCCATCTTCTGCGCAGATGCGGCCGATATTGATGAAAGGCCACGAGAGGCCGCTGACATTCCTCAAGTACAACCGGGAAGGCGATCTCCTCTTCTCCTGCGCGAAGGACCACAATCCCACCGTCTGGTTCGCCGACAGCGGCGAGCGCCTCGGAACCTACCGCGGCCACAACGGCGCCGTTTGGTCCTGCGACGTCTCCCGGAATTCGACCACACTCATCACCGCCAGCGCCGATCAGACCGCGAAGCTCTGGGATGTCCAGACCGGATCTCCCCTGTTCACTTTCCAATTCGACTCCCCCTGTAGATCCGTCGATTTCTCAATCGGCGATAAGCTTGCCGTAATCACCACCGACCAATTCCTTGACATTCCTTCCGCGATTCACGTGAAGCGGATATCTATAGATCCAGAAGACGACATTGATGAACAATCTGGTGAATCTGTGGTCACAATTAAAGGAGTGTCCGTGGGAAGAAGGATCAATAGGGCCGTTTGGGGGCCCTTGAATAGGACTATCATCAGCGGGGGCGATGACGCTGTCCTTCGTATCTGGGACGCCGAAACGGGGAAATTGCTCAAGGAGTCTGATAAGGAATCGGGTCACACGAAGGGGATTACCTCTCTGGTGAAATCCGCGGACGGGTCACACTTCAAAAACGGGTTCATTAGACAAGTCGGCGAAGCTCTGGGACATTAGGAACTTGACACTTCTCAAGACATACGCGAGCAACAGCCTGGTGAACGCGGTCGATATGTCGCCCCTCGTGGACCACATTGTGCTGGGAGGTGGCCAGGAAGCCAGGGACGTGCCGAAATCAGACGGGGGCAAGTTTGAGGCCAAGTTCTATGACAAGATTCTTGAGGAAGAGATTGGGGGTGTCAAGGGCCACTTTGGGCCGATCAATGCTCTGGCATTCAACCCTGATGGGAAGAGCTTTGCAAGCGGTGGGGAAGATGGGTACGTGAGATTGCATCATTTTGACACTGATTACTTCCATATCAGGATTTAAGTAAGGTTCAAACTTCAATCCCAAAGCACACACAACTATTGAGTCCAATTGCTGGCTTTTTTTTAGGTTCTCTCTTTTATCAGTTTTGAACTCATCACCAGCTTTTTGGTCTTTTAATTAGTTTTGGTCATATACGTTTTATGAGTATGGTTTATTATTTTGGTCCGAAAGAACTTCCACTAGCCATATACAGTAATAGTATCTTGAAAACTCTTCCGATTTTGTTTTTTAGTCAAACATTACACAAATGAATTCTGTTTCTGTTTCGATTTCTATTTTGACTTTTAGAAAAATAAAAAATACTCCGTATATATTTATGGTTGACTTTCTAATTTTTTCCATACGATGGGTAGAAATAAAATGTACTCCCTCCGTCTCATAAAGTGTTACTTATTTTGACTAAAGTTGAAATTAAAGAAGGAATAATTTTGTGTTGACTTTCCAAAAATACCCTTGATGTGATGGATAAAAGTAGGATGTGATGTGTAGATTATTAAGAAAAAGGTATGATGTGACAGGTAGGGTTTGAAAAAGTAAGAGGTAAAAGTGATTTTTTAATAGAAATGGGTAGGAGATTGTGGGACGCAATTTTTTTGAAACGTGTAAATCTCTTTTTAAGACAGAAGAAGTAATATATAGATTATTATCGAAACTGTTTTTAAGAAATGGAAAGAGTATTAGTATAATAATAATTTTATTATATTTATTATCAATAATTTTAGTATAAATATAAGATTGAATAAATAGTACATTAATAAACATATGAGTTATGCAAAAAAATATAACAATGCATTTAGGGTGCATTTAGTTGACCGATAGTGTAATTACATTATTATTAACAGAATAAAAGTTTGACATTTCTTATCTGGAAAAAGAAAAAAAGAAGAAGAATAGAGTGACATTTTTCTCTAAAAGAGCAGCTCTATATATAACATGGCGCGCCGCATCATTCAATCATATACTCCGTATCAGCTTTTGTGGCCTTAATATCCCCGCCGGAGGCGGCGGAATCTCCGGCAATGTCGATGACCCTGGCCTGCTTCTTCCTCTCCTCCGCCACCTTGGGAACCGTGACCTTCAACACTCCGTCCTCCAAGCGCGCCCTGATGCGGTCCAGGACCGCGTTTCCGGGCAGCCTGAACTGGCGCCAGAACCTGCCCGTAGCCCGTTCGGCCCGGTGCCACTTCTCCCCCTCGACGACCTCCTCCTCCGCCGCCTTGCGCTCGCCGCTGACCCGGAGCACCCGGTTCTCCTCCAACTCGACCCTCACGTCCTCCCTCCTCATCCCCGGCACGTCCAGTGAGATCACGTTGCTCCTTCCCCGTCTCCTTCCAGTCCGCCCGCGCCAGCGCCAGAGACTCTGCGGCTTTTGGGATCGTAAGCGGGCTCTGTTCGAGGATCCTGAACGGATCCTCGGACGGGAAGACCAGATCCAAGAGCGGCGAGCGAGTGTATGGCATTAGCGCGTGGGCCGGCGCCGGGAGGAAGGAGGCGGCGAGGAGGAGGAGGAGGAGGTAACCGGCGAAACAGATGATGATGATCAACTTGGAATATGACTTCTCCATTATTGCCACAGCGAATAGAAATTCAAATTGGTTTTATTTATGGGGTTTTTGATTCGTTACGTTCTTTGAAATTGTTTGTTAAGGTTGATTGAGATTTGAGGGGGTGATGGGACGGCGGTGGATTTATAAGGGGTGGATAAATTGTGGCCGTGGTTCAGGAGGGTTCTGGAGAGTTAATTTGTTATTAACAGGAAATGTTTAATTTGTTAATTTGAGGAGCTGTACGTCTACAAGTTTCTAGAAGTGATGCATGGATGGTGTATGTATGCTTGATGATCTCTTTACTAAGGGGTCAAATTTCACAATTCAATTTTTAATTTTTTTCTCTTTTCAAATCTAAATTTCATTTTTCCAATAAAAAAAAATCATTTTCAATCCTAAAAATACTACTCATTTTAAGCCCCTTTTCACTAATACTCCGTAGTACTTTGAGCTAGTTTCCAAGTAAGCAAGTCATTTAAGTCAAATCACAATTTTATATTCTCCTCATTCAATAAATCACAATTTTATATTCTCCTCATTCAATAATAAGGCTCTCGTTTAATTTATGATATTTGTTTGAAATTTTTTTAATAAAAATAAATAAACATTTGTGTAGAACTAAAAAAAATAAAAATTATATACTCCATGTCTCCATCTAAAAATTATTCTCTCATTCACTATTTACAGGGTATAACGTTATTTACTCCCTCCGTCCTATATTGATCTTCTCACATTGACTAAAGTTCATTTTTAAGGAAGGGATAAATATGACTTTGACCTTCCAAAAATGCCCCTCCTTATAAACTTGGAAAACACAAGCCCACACCCACCCAATTGAAAAAACTGCCCCCACCCCCCTTCCGGCAATTAGTGGCGGCACTAAAGATTGGGACGACGACGGTAGCGGGGCGGTTTTCTTGGCGGTGGCTTTCTCACGGTGAAAAAGCCTAATTTTATATCCTTTTAAACATTTATTGCAATTTAAGATTTTAAGAAAACACCTAATTTTAAGAAAACGAATTCATGATTTCATCGTTGTAGTGAAGAAAAGGATTAAAAATGTAAGAAAAAAGAACTCACCCTATTATCTGACGACTTGATCTTGAGAAAGCAGTGGCAGAATTCAAGGCAAAACTCGAAAAATAATGGCAATCGGAAAAAGAGATCTGGGTCGATTCTAATTGAAGGCAGCGACAGAGTTTGCCCACCCGACCTCGCTGTAGTTTTCCCACGAAAAAAACTGCGCAGATCTAGGGTTTTGAGGGAGGGATGCAAGGCGGACGGAATAGATCCGAGATGTATACCAATACTCTGTGGAATCCATATCAACACAATAGATTGAGAGAGGGAGTGACTGTCAATTGGCTAAGATAGAAGAGAGGCAGAGAATCCAAAGAAGGAAGATGAGGAAGACGTAAGTAAATGTTAATGGTAGGAGGGTTCGACAAAGCAAAGATAAGGGTATAATAGGCATTTTATTATCTTTTTTTGAAGTGGGAAGATAGTTTTAGGACAAGGAAAAAGAGGAAGTGGGAAGATCAATATAGGACGGAGGGAGTACTTTATAAGGCTTTTTTTGTCATTAATTTGAAAAAACTTACATAATTATATCAACTCTAGTTTTATCGATTTTTTGATGTAGTTTTAAAATATGTGACTTTTATTTTTTAATTCCATACTCTTCTTCATAGAAAATGACTTGAAACTAACATTAGTCAAACATCGTAACGCACTACACACAGATACTATTTGGATCAAGTGAATACTAAAAAGTTACTCCCTCCGTTCCTGAAAACATTTCTCCTTTCTTTTTTCATCCGTCCCAAAAAACACTTCTTATTTCTATTAATACTCTTTACTTTTTCATATCACATCTATCACATCACACCTTTTTACTAATAATTTACCTATCAAATCCTACTTTTAATTTACCCATCACGTCAAATGATATTTTTCGAAATTAAATACCAAAATACACTCTTCTTAAATCTCTTCAAAATCAAAACATCCCATGTTTAAAGGAACGGAAGGAGTACATCAAAAGTTCTAAAAACAAGTGGTAGTATAATTATTTTATTTTATAAAATGACCAAAAAAATATACTCCCTCCGTGCTATATAAAACTTTTTCCTTTTGTTTTTTTCGAATTCCCTAAAATACCTCCAATTTCTATTAAAAACCATATTTACCTTTACCTTTTCATACCCTACCTATCACATCATATTTTTTCATTAATAACTAATCTATCACATCTTACTTTCACTCATCACATTAGAAGCAAAATTGGAAAGTCAACCAAAATTATTACACTCTCCTTATCTTAACCTAAAGTCAAAATGAGAAGGGTTTAAAAGAATGAAGCTAAGGGAGTATAAAAAGTGAAGAGTTAATTTAACATTGAATGATGATTAGTAGTTTTTTTAGGACGCAAAGAGAATAATTTGAAGTCTTGACTCTTGAATTTGACACGTTATTTTTTCTTTGAGTTTATTGCATCATGTCCTTCTCTGAATTGGTAAATATATATTGTTATGTTTTATGGTTTCAAAACTTATGTTGTTACTCTCATAGTTCTAGTATTACTATGCCAATGCTCTTCTAGATTAACATATCTTTCAAATACGGAGTATTATAATGTTTTAATAATCAACTTTTTTGTGTTTGCAACAAAAATAAATTAAATAACAAAAATTAACGTATGCTTCTTTTGTCTCAAATTAGACATTTTTTTTGTCCAAAAGAAATCTTTATTGGTTAATTTTCATGATACAAAAATTCATGAAATATTCTCTTTTTTATTAAAGTTCACTTCTCATTTTCTGTTAAATAATTTTATATCGTTTCTTTTATTTTAATAATCAAAGTTAAATAAAAGAAAAAAGAATAGAAAAGAAAATAAAGAAAAAGAAAAACATATGATGAGTCTTCTATCTCAGGTTTTTCTTCTTTATAGTACTGTTTTTGTTTCTTTAATTTTATGATTTATTTTGTTTATTTAACATTTATACTCATTCAGGTTATGATATATCTCAAAAATAAAAAATGAATACAACAAATTAAGGCTCGTCATTTGAACATGTAATGATATTATTGCAATCTTTTAAGTACATAAAAATTTGAATAAATATTACGGAGTAGTTTACATTATGTATATACGGAGCAATATGCACACTCTTTCTATTCTATATTAACTACTCCCTCCGTCCTATAATGATCTTCTCGGTTCGCAAAACGAAGAAAAATTCTAAGTTTTTTCAATCTATTTTATTTAAATATTGGTATAGAAATAAAAAATAAAACATACTCCCCCCGTCCAAAAAAGAACTTCCCACTTTTCTTTTTAATCCGTCCACAAAAAAACTTCCCATTTCTAAATTTAGTAAGGAATTGAAGGGTAAAGGTCAATTATACCCCTCCCTCTCATTCATCGTCATTATCCCCATTTACTCTACGCCACCCACCTATTATCTACCTCTACTTCTTCGCCATTTACTCCTTCACGCCATCCTCTTCCACAAACCTCTTAGATCTAGGGTTTTCCTCCTCTCTGATACCTTCACCAAGTTGCTCTCACCTGTACCAGACCAGCGGATTTAAACGAGACAAGTGGGTGGGTGAATTTCCATGGATTCCGAAGATATGCGTTACCTTTCTGTAATTGAAGAGACTGTGGATGAAATCGACCCTGAGGAGATCGTCGAGGATGAAAAATCCTTTTCCGCGTCTGGCGATGTGGTGATTGAGCAACTTCATCCTCTTGAAGAAGGTATTCCGGAGGTTGTCCCTGATTCAGAGGAAGAGGATGAGCCCGCTGAGCCCTCTCCAGTGTCAAGCTTTGTGTGTGCAAGAAAGCACACTTGTAACACCATCTTAAAGCTTATGTTCCCGGGCTGGGATACACCCAAGTAGGGATAAACCGTACTCTCTCTTCTCTACTTTAAGCACACTTTAAATTATGTTTACCTTCTCTAGAGCATGCTATGATGATGGTTAGTATTCTGCCTTACCATGATGGCATTTGGCTATGATGTGCTCAAGTATTCTGCCTTACTGTTTTTCGCTGCCATTACCTTCTGTGTGGGCTGTGTGGGCTATGTGTGTGTCCAAATCTGATTCCTAAATAACACTGAGCATGCTATGATGGTACTTGGTTATATCCCTTACTTTGTGTGTGCCCTGGCTTGTGTTTGTGCTATGTGTGTGTGCATAAGTAGGGCTGGAGTGTGTCTGAGCATGCTATGATGTGCTCAAGTATTCTACCTTACTGTTTTTCTCTGCCATTACCTTGTGTGTGGGCTATGTGTGTGTCTAAATCTGATTCCTAAATAATCCTGAGCATACTATGATGACACTTGGTTATGTCCCTTACTTTGTGTGTGCCCTGGCCTGTGTTTGTGCTATGTGTGTGTGCATAAGTAGGGCTGGAGTGTGTCTGAGCATGCTATGATGTGGTTGGTCATTTGAACTGCAATGATGAGTAACAAGAAATCCATACATTACTTTGTTGGAATACATTAAACATGTGTGGTTGCTGTTTGTTCAAAAACCCAAAAATCAAAAACCCAAAATTCAAAAACCCAAAAACAATGTACAACCACAATGATACAAAGTCTTTTGTTAGGTGTTAGTTCAATCTTGAAGAATGATCTCCTCATCTTCTTCAAGAATGAACTGACCCAGTAGGACTTCATGTGTTTCAACCATAGGTACAGCTGGCCCATTTTGTTCCCCAAGTACTGCCATACTCCTCTCATACAAACCCTCTTCTAGTTGTAGTACATATGGAAGTGTCCCATTTCTGTGCATAGCATCCTTTCCCATGTGTGGCACTTTGTAGTTATTGCCCCCTTCAACCTTCATCACCTCTTGCATAACATGTTGATAACTCAGCCACACTTTGTTTAGTGTGTGGGCTGAGAACTGATTGTATGCTTCCTGGACTGCATTCATTAANTGACCCAGTAGGACTTCATGTGTTTCAACCACAGGTACAGCTGGCCCATTTTGTTCCCCAAGTACTGCCATACTCCTCTCATACAAACCCTCTTCTAGTTGTAGTACATATGGAAGTGTCCCATTTCTGTGCATAGCATCCTTTCCCATGTGTGGCACTTTGTAGTTATTGCCCCCTTCAACCTTCATCACCTCTTGCATAACATGTTGATAACTCAGCCACACTTTGTTTAGTGTGTGGGCTGAGAATTGATTGTATGCTTCCTGGACTGCATTCATTAATTCAGTTACATTGCTTGGAGCTGATTGTTCCTTCAATGACTGTATGGCCCTGAAAAAACCTAAATCTAGAATGTTCAGGTCAGGAGAATTAGGGGGCTGATTAGCTAGGGTAATCTGGAAACCATTTGTTGTACTTGCCATGACAAACTCTAGGTCATTTCCAAGAATATGTGGCCTTGCATTATCTTGTTGGATAACAATTTCCTTGCTTAAGAAGTTTGGCCACTTCTCTTGAATAGCAGGTATGACTGTGTGTATCAGCATGTCCTTGAACACTTGTTTAGTGACGCTTGATATCGGTTTGGTTTCCAGTGAACCTGCTTCCCTGTTCTTGCTTTTTCTCTTAGCCTCAACAGACTCCACAAAGGGGAAAATCCCTACCTTACCATTCCAAAGGACTTCACCTTCATCAGAAATTATAGGTCTTCCTACGACCCCTAAAAACATGATTTTTGTGATGAATCTCTTAGATTGACAGCTTCGGTATGGCTCTTCCTCATCGAGGGTCAAATAAAAGCGTTGTGATGTTTTTGTCATAAAAAACCATTTCTCATCAATGTGCAAGATATTTTTAAAACTCTTGAAGGTTGGGTTTAAGGGGATACTGGATCTTCTAACTGCTGCAGACAAAACATCATCCTTTGCCTCTTATTTCCATCAGTAAGTGTGGGCTTAATTGCATTAGTGTGACTTCGAATAATACCTCGTTTCACTCAATGGAACTTCTGAAATGGACTCCAAGTCCACTATAGCTCTCTTCCTTCCAACATTTCCTGGCATTCTACTTCTTACGAGTTACGTTGACGGACAAACATCAACAAGGAATCGACAACAGGTGTTGCTTCACTAACAGGAAGATGATTGTAACTTGAGTCGTCGGTGTGAAAACTGTCTCGGGGAGACTCGTCAAACGCACGGGTACTACAAACAAAAACGAACATCATCGTTGAACTCGATAATTCCTTGTCGTTCCAAGTTTGACAGTTTTTTTTCCTTTTACCTTGTGTGTTTTCTTCAACTGTGTGCAGTGTCTGTGTTGGTATTGACGGTTCCATCCCGGAGATTGATATGGCTGTGAAGGCAGCACTAGAAAAGGGAAAAAGAAAAGCTCCCTCACATGGTAGGAAGAGAAGGAAGTTTGGAGACAAAAATTCTCACATGGCAGGAACAAACAAAGACAAAAAGGAAGAATTTGGCAATGAAGAAAAAAAGAAAGAACCTGGCAGTGGAGAAGGAAACAAAGAATGATGTAGTGCTGGAAATCTAAAAATGGAAATCTAAAAATGGAAAGTACTTATAGACTTTACATTTGGGTGGGAACTTTTAACTTTGTGGAGGGAAATGAATTTTTTTGCTAATTTGGGCACTCAAAAGTGCCGTGTAATATGGAATATGGAGGATTTTTAATCATTGCAATGTACTTTTACTTTTGATATTTTAATCATTATGTATCAAATCAAAAAGTTTATCTTCCTTTTTTCTTTTGCACATATCACGCCCAAACCCACTAAAGGGTAATATGAGAAAGTCAAGGACAATTTCAGATTTTCTTAAAGTGCGTGCCGGGTCAAACCGGGAAGTTCTTTTTTGGACGGAGGGAGTACATATTTAAAAACTACACCAAAAGTTCAACAAAACAAGTGGTGACAAGAATATTTTATTTTATCATATAGGCCATGAAAAAACACAAATAAATATAAATTCCCGTGAAGTTGGAATAGTGCTCTGGGAAGATCATTATAGAACGGAGGGAGTATCTATTACTACCTCCGTCCTAATTCTTTCTTCTCAGTTTGACTTTTCTCCACTTTTAATTTTTGGCTTTGACTTCAAATTTTACCCTCCTTAAAAAAGATTTTTTAAAATTTTTTTTTGCAATCATTTAAAATATAGAGTTAGAAGATAATTGCATTGGTGTAATTACATGAGAGTATTAATGTCATTTGTTATCTTTTTTTCTAATGGGAAGTTAGTTTTAGGACGGAGAAAAAGGGAAAGTGGGAAGAACGTCTTAGGACATAAGGAGTAACATTTTTGATGAAAAATAAATATATGTTGACAAAAAAAATATGTATGCAGCCATCATTTAATTTTTAATTTTTCCAAAAAGTGTTAATAAACAGTTAATATAGAATAGAAAAATGTACTTATTCAATATTTTTATGCATCTCAAGAATCAAAATGATACCACCGTGAATATATTAAAATCAAAGACTCATCATTTGGACGTTATTCCGGGAGGCCGTCTTCCTCTTGAACGGAGAGTACCCGCGCTTCAGCATCTCCTCCACCTCCTCGAACTGCAGCCCCCTCGTCTCCGGCACCAGAAAGTAGATCGCCACCAGTCCCGCCAGCGAGAACGCGGCGAACAGGAGGAACGTGCCGGAGCTGCCGAGGGCCTCCGTCAGGGACAGGAAGGTCTCGCTGACGAGGAGGTTGGAGACCCAGTTGGAGACCGCCGCGATTCCTCCCCCTACTCCGCGGTACCGGAGGGGATAGATCTCGGAGTTCACTATCCAGGGAACGGTCCCCATCCCCGGGGAGTAGGATATTATGTACAGCCCGAGGAGGACCACCGCCGCCGGCCCGTATTTGCTCGGGCAGCCCTTGGTGTACCATGAACGCCCTTCGCTTTTGCAGGAGCCTTTGATTAAGTCGGTGGCGGATAAGCACGCACCAGGGTTTAACTGTCATCACCATCAGTTATTTAACTAAAACATAATGACTTTTTCAATATAAGATCATATGTTTTTATTTCCCAATATAGCATTATTGGTCATTATTAATTAGTCATTATTCAAGTAAAAATGTCCTTCATCACTAGACATTATTTCTTACCCTAGACATTATTAAGTTCTTTTTAGGAAATAAAAAAATTTAAGTCTTACATTGGAAAATGACTTATGTATTAGTCGTATTTCGTACAAATTTTTCTTAATTAAAACCTAATTACTTGGTTAGAGTATATAATCTATTGCTACTAGCTCCCATTTTATTAGGGCTCATTTGGAAGAAAATACTACTCCCCTATCCCACAAAATTTTCCTCATTTCTTTTTTCTTCCGTCCCAAAAGCATGTTCAATTCTATTGAAAAGTCATTTTTATTTCTATTTATTCTTAATCTACATATCACATTATATTTTTTCACTATTAATTTACCCATCACATCTACTTTTACCCATTACATCCAAGGAAATTTTTGGAAAGTCAACACCAAAATACATTCCGTTTAAATCCTTTAAAAGTAAAACCAGAAAGGTTTTGTGGGACGGAGAGAGTAATTTATTACTCTCGCCATCCCGTGAAACTTTTAAAATTTTTCTTTATCTTACATATTTCTTCCGTTTCATAATGCGGTTCCTATTTTAACTTTTGGGAGAAATAATCAATGTATAATTGCGGCTAATTTTCTAATTTTGTCTTTGATGAGTTAATGAAATTAAAAAAAATTATTTTTCCAAAGCAATTTGTAATCATTTCAAATGGACGTTCAAATAATTTTATTTTTGTAACTATGAATTAAAGCATGCATACGTACTTTGCTGGCTTTGTTATCGCAAAAGCCGCAATCAGCGGGGCCGGCAATGCAGGACATGCAGTCCCAGGAGGAGGCGTCGACGGCCTTCTGGAACCTAGGGCAAGTGGAGTTGACGCCGAAGTGGGCGGACTCCATCACGCTGACCGGCGGGGAGTGGGTGGCGGCCTGGTTGAACACGCCGGCGAGGACGAGGAGGCAGACGATGATCCCCACCATGGACGCGATCATCAGCTTCCGGCGCCCGTACCGATCGACGCAGCACATGCTGACGACGGAGCCGGCGGCGTTGATGCCGGAGGTGACGAGGGAGAGGGCGAGGGCGGTCTTGTTGGAGGCGAAGCCGGCGAGCTGCAGGATGGAGGGGCTGTAGTACATGACGGTGTTGATGCCGACGAACTGCTGCGCCACCTGAACGGTGATCCCGGCGTAGAGGCCTCGCCGGACGACGGGGTTTCCCCAGGCGCTCTTGAGTTTGGACACCAGGTCGGTCCCGATGGCTCTTTCCTCCGCCTTTTCGTTCTCTATGGAGGCCTGTAATGCCCTCATCTCTTCTTCCACGTCTTCTGTGCTGTATATCTTGTCCAGCACTGCCCTTGCTTCCGATATCTTGTTCTGATGACAAAAGAATTTGCATACCGGATGTCAATTCACGAAAGATTGGATCATATATATGTTCTTAATTACTTTTGTGTAGATATTGTAATAAAATCATACATTGCATATTGGAATATAATAATTTTGATACATCAATTTTTTTACTCCCTCCGTTTGCAAAAAAGTTCCTACTTTGACTTGGAGCCAAAGTAAGGAAGTGTAAAATTATAGTTGACTTCCAATTTTGCTCTTAATGTGACGGGTAAAAATAAGACTTCCAATTTTGACTTCCAAGTCCCGTAACCCTCCCAAACTTCACCCCCTCTACCCCCAGATCGTTAATTATATTTGGAGGCCTCCAAATCGGCGATCTAGGTGGTGTATAGGGGCTGTGGCGTGGTGAAATTGATGGGTTGGGGGTAGAAACGATTATTCTTACGAGCGGAGCACTGTAGGTGTTCCAAAACAACTGGTGTCACGAAATGGTGTAATTTTTGTTGGTGTAATATTACAGATTCTCTTTAATTATTTACTCGTATTTAATTATGTTTAATTTTTCTTAAAAAATACAGGAGTGTAAGAGAGTACATACCTCTCTATAGAGCCATCTGGGAGACTCAGGCAGGGAAAGCATTAGGGCAAATTGAATCACTGCGGGAAGGCCTGCTATGCCAAGCATCCAACGCCACGTTCCACTCGTCTACGATATTTATTTATTCACATTATATGTCACTATATAAATAAAATAAGTTAAAGCAGGAATAACTTTTAGTACATGATGGAGTAGTTGTGACCTTGGTGAATGCTAAGTTGATGAGGTAAGAGAGGAACTGTCCTCCGGTGATGAGGAGGCCGTTTGTGCTGACGAGGGCGCCTCTGATCCTCGCCGGAGAGGCCTCGGAGATGTAGAGAGGGGCGGTCATGGACGCCATCCCCACTCCCAACCCCACCAACAGCCGCCCCGCGATCAGTATCCCGGGCCCCGGGGCTGCTGCCATGACAATGGCCCCAAAGAAAAAGACAATGTCCGCTACGAGGATTGATCTTTTCCGTCCGTACTTGTCGTTCATCCACCCCCCGAATCCCGCTCCCACTATCGCCCCCGCCACCGCCATGCTCACTATTGTCTCCTGCTCATCGTCCATCGTCACATATATACGTATTAATTTAGAGAAATTTATCTAAATAGAACTAAAACATAATAACTTTACCAGTATAGGACCATATGTTTTTATTTCCCAATGTAGGACTTTTGGTCATCATCAATTATTCATTATTCAAGTAAATGTCCATCATTACTGGACATTATTTCTCCCACTAGAAATTATTAAGTCCTATTTAGGGAATAAAAAAGTTTAAGTCCTACATTGAGAAATGACTTACTCCCTCCATTCCACAAAACCCTTCCGGTTTTGACTTTGGGGGAAAATAAGGAAAGTGAAATTTTGGTTGACTTTCCAATTTTGCCCCTGATGTGATGGGAAAAAGTAAGATGGGATAGTTTGGTTATTAGTGAAAAAGTATGATGTGATAGGTAGGGTATGAAAAAGTAGGGGTAAAAGTGGTTTTTTAATAGAAAGTGGAAATATTTTGTGGAAAGCAAAAAAAACGAAAGAGGAAGGGTTTTGTGGAACGGAGGGAGTATGTTTTAGTCCTATTTAATGCAAATTTCACATTATAATTGATCATGCACTAATTAATTAAACTAACGAATCGGTATATAAGCTCTTGAATTGAGCTGAGTAATCGATTAAATTTAATTTTTTAATGTGATTCAACTCAAGTGTCGTCTTAAGCCAAATCTAGTGATCCTAGCTACCCGAATTCTAAATTTTATCAGTTTGAAAGGTTTATATAATTAGTAGTATCATGTATTCCAATCTGATCATCGGTCTAAATGTATTTGTAGTCATCACCTGCAACCAAGTGTTCTTCTCAACGGATTTGAAGTCATCTCGGATGTAAAGTAGGGCTCCAGAGATAACACCTAATAACATGATGAAATGAATGCCAAACTAATAAGTGACCAACTTGAAATCAATAATTGATACATATAGAGTACACTAAATAAAAAGCTCAAAACTTTAGTCTTTATTATTTTTATGATGCATGATACATACAATATTTCAATAAATATATACTCGTAATAACAAAGAAATAATGACGAGATTTACTGATAAATTTAGGTAGGTACGTAAAATGATATTGGGCAATAAAACATTTGGACTGAATCGCATTAAAAAAAATTGAATCTAATCAATTATTTAGCTCAACATACTAACATTTAGGTAAACTAAGAATCTAGCAGTTAATACATGAATGTCTTTATATTCTGGACCTAAGATCCGCATTACTTTTGTAGACCTGCATGCTTGGAAGTTTTAATTTTATTTAGTCATCTTTATTAAAAATATATGAATATAAAAAGATGCTTATCGGCATTTTTTTGAAACTCAAACACTTTCATTCATCAAAGTAAATGCATTACATCATTAGGGGGAACACAATGCCAATTAGAGCACCCATTAAATTTACCATAGATCTTAGGTTTACAAAAGAATTTACGGTAATTACGTACCGGTGTCATAACCGAAAAGAAGCCCTCCGATGCCCGCCGACAAGGCGAGGCGCATGATATAAGGCGTTCGCCACGTCGTCTTCCAGCATTCTGAGAGATCTGTTTTGTCCACTTTTTGATGGGCACCCTCCATTAATCTAATACCTAAGAAAAATAGTCAATAATCTATTCATTAATTAGACTAAAATTAAAATGAATTCGACAGTAATTAATACAGATTAATATAAATATATATACTAGCTACTTGTACATACACTTTTATATAAATAAATTCAGCCCAATATATGTGAGTATAAAGATCTGATTTGGGAGCTGAGATTAATTAATTATATCAATCTTTCTATGTTATAAAAATTGAAATTTTTGTAGAGTATGTAGTTATATATGGGGAATAATTAAGGGTATTATAATTGTGTTTATGTCTTTTTATTTTTGTGGGAATATAATGAGTGGGAGAGTAATAAGATGGAAAACAGAGCATGAGAGGGCAATGAAGCAAATTTGTAGAGCTAAATTAACGGAAGCTTCAAACTGTGACCTTAAAGACGCGAAACTGACGGACCATTTGGTCTCGAATCTGGTCTAAACATGGGACATTTGTAATAAGGTTGTTGATCACGGATTAAATGTGGTCATTAACTGTCTTTTCCACTATATTTTCGTGCCCCAAGCAAATATCAAAAATCAAAATTGACCAAATAGCCTTTTAAAAAAATTATAAAATTTGCTTTAAATAAGACTAAAACATAAATCATTTTTCAATTTACAAATTAAATTTTTTTCTCCTAAATAGTATTAAATAATGTTTAGTGGAAGAAATAATGTCCAGTGATCGACATTTACTTTAATAATGACTAATGGATAATGACCATTGGTCTTATATTAAATTATAAAAACATATGGTCCTATATTGAGAAAGTCATTATGTTTTAATCCTATTTAGGTAAATTCCCCCAAAAAATAATTATTTAAGTAGAAGAATGGTAATGGAGTACGAGAAATATATTTTCATATATTTGTGTGTGTGTGTGTCTATATATATATATATATATATATATATATATATATATATATATAGGGGTTGGTTCCGGTGAGAAATGTGTTTGGTGAAAGAAATAAGAATAAAATAGAATGGTTGGATTCAAAGCATTGGAGGGACACGGCTGGTTGCAGATGGCATTTCCAAAATTGATTTTAAAAAGGAAAGCCATAATTATAGTGCATTAAATTAGGATTAAGTTGTTGACCAAGGGCATGAAGGTAATATCATTTTGAATAGTCCATCATACGTGTCCTCCCAATAGTTTAGCTAAGCCGAACAAATCTCCATGAAGGTTCTAAAAAATCTTGAATCTTTAAGGAAATCTTATTCCGTATTGGATTAATATTTTGTTCTTCATTTTTCAAAAAACAGTATATTTTGTTCATTAAAAAGTTTTGCATTATGACTCTTGATAATTAAAAAATTCTGAAATTAATTATTAGAGATTAATATTGGAGATTCATTTTAGCCTTTATTAATTAAATACTCATGAGTTTATTAATCTTTTATTCATGAAAATATTTTGCATCTTTGTAGGTTCCAAAAAAATCTTATTTCATATAGCATGAAATTGATAATGTTGAATGTCATCTCAATTTGTAATGCACTGATTGCTGGCCATGATGCTTCAATCCTCTACTGTAAATATTTCTATATTATGCATTTTTAGTGCATTATATAAAACAATCAGTGCATTATAAGAAATTTGTAGTACATACTGTGCACAACCCAGAATTATATGTATAACATGCTAAATATTTTGATGATTTTTTTTAAAAAATTATAGTGCATATTTTATAAATTGAATTATTTGGCTCTTGAATTAAAACATACTACATTTAAGATATATTTTAATTAACTTTATAACTTGGGGTTCTAATTTATTCTTATATCAATTCATATCATAGTTTTTTTCTATTGGAAGAGGGAGTAAGTGATGAACAATGTCAATGATGATGAAAAGGGATACAAAAGAATAAAAGGCACTCTATACATAAGTAATTATTGATTTCTTGCACCCAAAGATTGATTATAGAAATTTGGTAAATTGAGATTATATATATCTCAAATTATAGAATCACAAACGACAATAAAAATATGGGAACATGACCTATGTGACTATAAGTGCATCTGTATAAAAAGAAATGAAAAAAACTTTAGTGCATTACCTAATAACAAAAAAGCAACACTGTAATATTTTATTTTTATTTTTATTTTTGAAAATAAAACTAATCATATGCAAATGAAGCAACTGTTGTGTCTACACATTTGAAAATTCTAAATACAAGTTTTTTGGTGCATCCTCTCAAGAAGGCCCCAACATATTTGTTTTTAATCTTTTCATCTCTTCCCCACCAACAGTACAAAAAAATGGCCTTAGAGAAAGAATGCATAGCCTTTTGTGCAATGCATAGTTCTTCAATCCCTTTCTGTTAGAATAAGAACAATAATGAGCTTCATTTGAGCACGATAAACAATTCCCCACATCACTTAGCGGCAAACTGTTGCAGTGGCAATCAACATCACATGCAACGTATTAGTGAAAGGCCCTAAGTTACAACAGATTCTAGCACAGAAAGATGAAGCACCACAACAGCAACAAAAACAAGGGTAGTCACCATAATCCTCATCTCAAATCAATATTGGCGACCCCAAGCCAGCAACACACAGTAATATGAGTGCACTTTAAAATAGTACTATATATGCACCAATATTTAATGACAAACATCTTTTTGCATTAGTGTACTACAAGGATAAATACTTTAATACTCCATCATTTCTGTGTTTGTATGCATCCTCATCTGGTAGAATTGCATCATTTTTTATCTACTCACTAATGCATATTGTTCAAGTTCATCATCATATAACATACTGCATCTTGAACACCAACTGTGTCACATCAAAAAGAAATCATAATGCATTTTAGAAGAACCACATTCAAAATGCTAATCACTCATATTGTATCTCAATAAAATATAAGCAAAATCATTGCAAAACCCATGACAAAATTATGAAAATGCAAATTCACACATAAGCAAAATCAAGACAAGCAAATAATAAAAAACAATATAAGTAAGATCGTGACAGAATCGTAGCGAGTACAATCCAAAAATTATCGAGTACAACCCTATGTGCAAAAATGAGAAAATGCCACATCGCACCCAAATTGCTAATCATTAAATTAGATAAACAAAATCACATCACCCCAAGTAACAAGACTAGAAGTAGTTTGCACCAAAGACATCTTTGGAGCATTTTGTCAAACATTTGGTGTGCAATCTTTTGTGGTATGACTTGGGAAAATCTTGGGGGCATTTTGTTAAACATATCACACTTTACAAATCAAACGATCTGGAGTTTTGTACTGAAGTGTTATTTTAATTCACTAAAATACATATTATGCTTTACAAATTAGTCTAGAGTCTACATAAAATGCATTACAAATACGTTATGATGCACGGAAGAGTCACTATAATGCACTAACAATTTTGAAATCAATTTCAATTCAAATGAATTCTTATCCGACAATAGAATAATATGCAGTAAAAATTATCGAATTGCTTAAGAAATCATACCTGAATCTATACAAAGATTAGAGCAATTTGAATTACTGTAAATGAGCAATTACGTGTAAAAATTCGACGGCCTCCATTAAAATTCAAATCGCCACACATAAGCAAATTCATATCTATGAAAATCGCAGACATGAATATTGGAAACTAAATCCCTTCGTGCGCGAGAAATCTGGGATTGGAGATGCTTTGCGTTGGACTCGGATTTAATTGACAGGCGCAAAAATGGAAATGCAAGGAAGGGACGCATATACCCTGGCGATAAAAGAATCAGGTTGCTAGATCAGACGGTTCTAATTAATTCTTATTTCTTTCACTAGATGTCTTTCTCACTGGAACCAAACTCATATATATATATATATATATATATATATATATATATATATATATATATATATATATGGTAGTTTCCCGATGTATATTGATTTTCTTTCCCTTTGTATTTAGTTTACATATAGAGTTCCTTGTCCATGGAATCTTATATATACAGTCTTTGTTTCATATTGTGAAGATCAGAAATACAAGAGAAATTTTCCCAAATACAATTCTTTCATGGTATCGGAGCTTAAAACCTAAGAAATTTTCGCTGTTGTTACTGCCGCACAGTCGACCGGACTAGGTCTTGTCCATCGACCGCCGCCGCTGATTTTTTGTTGTTGCTGATCAGACGGTTGATCGTCACGATCCAGTCCATCATCTTTTTCGTTGATTTTCTTCACTATTGTTGTTATGACGGTCCAACGAAGGTCCAGCCCATCGACTTTCTCGCAGTGAGTTGCTGCTGTTCTCTCATCCTTTTCTGTATGCCACTTGTTACCGCCATGGCCGATGAACAACCAAAGAAGGTGATTTCGTCCAACAAGAATGATGATCACGAGAGAGTGTCTTCTTTATTGCCCAATTTTGATGATCTAACTCAGGAATAGTGGAATGGTGTTCGTCAGTTGTTTTCCATATCACCGTCTATTTCTAGTATGAAATTTTCAGGTATTTCTGTATCACCACGTTGGATCATAGATACTGTTGAATCAATTCATAAGACATGTGATATTTCGTTTTATGCATGATGTGGTGGTGTGTCACCATGTGAGTTTGGTTTACCAAACAGAAAATGAGTTAATTTTTGTTCAATTTATTGGAAAGGTTAAATTTATAAAAACTTTAACTCTGAGGATTGTGTTATATGTTCCCACTTTGAGATGTCAACTAACCTCTGTGTCACAATTAATATTGACACTAAACTGTGAGGCACGATTTGTCAACAACGGATGTGTGTTTCAAGACCTATCTTTGAAGATGACGATTGGTGTGGGTGAGCATGAAGGAGGACTTTATTACTTCACGGAGCCTGACAAGAAGATGGCGTACAGTCCAAAGAAAGAGTAATTTTGATCTTTGGCACAAGTGCCTCGGACATCCTTATTCTCATGTTTTGTCTCTAGTTTCACAAGTTAGTTTGAATAAGAGAAGTTGTAGTTATTGTGATGTTTGTTTGCATGCTAATAAAACTCGGGGAAGTCTTACCATTAGTTTTCATTAATCAATTGATAAATTTGATATGGTACATTGTGATTTGTGGGGACCTTATTGAATGCCGAGTTTTGATGGTTCTGCGCTGTTTTTTATTATTGTGGATGATTTCTCTAGAGGTGTATGCGTTTATTTGCTTGATTCTAAGCGTATAGTTAGGAGGGTATTTAGACAATTTTGTACCATGGTAGAATGTCAATTTGAGAGAAAAGTAAAGTGTGTTTGTAGCGATAACGGTACAAAATTTGAATGTCTAAACAAATACTTTCGAGAACGAGGAATTGTTCATGAGACATCTTGTGTGTCTGCTCCATAGCAGAATGGCAAAGTAGAACGCAAGCATCTGCATATACTGAATGTGGATCGAGCTCTAATATTTTAGGTTGGGCTTCCGATTGAGTTTTGGGGAGACTGTGTTCAAACCGCTGAGTATCTAATGAATCGCAGACCATAGTCTTTGCTAGGGGGTTATACCGTACGAGAAGCTCTATAGAAGGTCGTCTGTTCTTACTCGTATTTGGATTTTTGGATGCAAATGTTACGCGCATAACTTGAAGAGGAATGGAGATAAGTTTGCACCTTGAAGCAATCCTGAGATATTCTTGGGTTATCCGCGAGGAAAGAAGGGATGACGTATATACTACCGGACACGGGAGAAATCAAAGTGTCCTGGACATTGTATTTTGTA